TTCATCTTGATTGTTCAGACTTGCCTCTTTCTATCGATACTGTTCAACCTGCATGTTTGCTATGATTGGTTATTCCTATCTTACTCTATTTATATGTTGAATACTGAATCATGACTCCCTCTTTGATTGATTCTGGGTTCCTATTTTTAGTGTTTAATTAAAAGACCTTCCTTTAAACCCTCAATTTTTACCTCTTCTATTCAAATTAACTGATTCGCCTACCTTGTCTGATGTGGTACTCTTAATTAGAGTTTTTCTGAACTTAGCCCTAATTGTTTACCCTATACTTACTGGATTTGATTCTTTCCTTATATGATACTTGTTCTTACCGTTTGAATTGATTCCCTTAACTTAAAGGAGTACTTGTCCTGATTTTGCTCTAATTAATTCTGAGTTCCATAATTATTATGCTACTATGATTCTTACCTTATTTTTATCTAATTTCGAACTACTATATATACACACTCTCTCATTAACACAAGGACGAACACTTTGGTTCAAAAGCTCTCTCTCTCTCACTCACTTAAACTTTGTGCTCTCTCTCTTTTGTGATACTTGCTACTATTCTGAGTTAGCCGGCTACAAGCCAAGGCTAACTATTATGCTCTCTGACTCTTTCACTCTTGACTACTGTCTTCTTTATTGGTATGTTCTAATTTCAGTTCAAGTTCCAAAAACAATATGGTTCTTTTATTGCTTCAATTCATCCTGTTTCTAGTTTGCTTTTACTTATGGTTTTGTTGTGAAACATGCAGTTAATATGCTTGCATGATTAGCATGTTATGAACTCCCCTTCCTTAGAATCAGTATGAGCAAGTTACCCCCCTCTAAGTAGTCTGCACTCCTTACCGGTATGGTTCTGGGATTGAATCATGTGGATCCTATACTGAACCCCCTTAAGAATTGCTGGTTCTGTGACTATGTCTGATCAGTTGTGTCTGAGCATGCTTGTACCAATTCCTAAGATCTTTGCTTGTTATGTGTTTACAATCATGTGTTCTATGTATACCAAAATCCTTTGATCCCTGTCTGTGACTACTGAACTTGCTTTGGTTCTGTGACCCCTGGCTGTGTATGAACCTGTCTTAAAGGTGTTGTGTTTGGACTGTTGTTTACTACTCCACTATCTTTTCAAACTGTCTCTGTTGTTTTACTAAATTATTTCAAACAAACTTCCTTTTAATACAGTTTTCCCACTAATACCTTTCAACTTGTTAAGCACTTTCACTTTACTCCTAAGTCAATAAGTTCTACCCCCTTCGGTATGTGTACTGCCTTGGGATCCTCTTGAGAACCATCTGAACTCTGGTATACTGAGGTTGGTCCTTCCACACTACACTTATTCAATTTTGGTTACCAAGTCTAGGTGTTAGCACTGTCCGGGATCCTTGAGATCCTTAGGGAACTTTCACTACAAGAAAAATGCTCAATAGCGAAGGGAAAACTGGTCCCTAAAAGTAAGGAATTGGTCGCAAATGCTCAATAGCGGCCAGCTAATCTGGTCCTTATAGCTTCCACCGCTAAAGGTTATTAAGGACGAGATAGTGTGTTGGTTGCTAAACCAGTTGCACAACCAGTTTAAAACTGGCCGTTAAATGTGTTTTAAGGACCATGTTTCTGGTGCTTATTTGCATATTTTAGGGACTAAATTTCTGGTCCTTAAAATATTTTCGCGACTAGTTTAAATATGGTCATTAAAACGTTTCACGACCAGTTAGAAGCTGGCCGTTATATCTATTCGGAGAAGTTTAAAGTTGGTCCCTGTAAGCACGTGATTTTTACCCTATATGAGAATTACTCCCAAAAAAATTCAAAATCAAGTGATTTTCCTTGGTGTGCAATTTTGTGAGATTTTGTGATATTTTTGGATAATTATTTGTATTTGTCTGTGTTTGCTTATTTGTTAAATTAATAAAAAAATACAAAAATATGTCGCATTTTTCATGTAGGATTTAATTCTACAATTTGTTAGTAATTAAGTTTGTTTACAAAAANTGTTGCTTCATCTTCTCCGGCTCCTCCGTTTCGCTGATGCTCCGCCATTGGTGCGCCGACCATTGTTGCTGCTGGATGCTCGTTTCTGTTTTGGGCTGCTGCATGACTGCTGCGTCGGTTTCAACCTCAAGCTCCGAGCTGCCTCGCCAACGACCAAGCAGATGCCATCGTCACTGCTGCTAGTGTTTCCTCGTTGCTTCAGTCAACTTCTTAGATTCGTTCATCGTCGTTTGGTCGAGCTCGTCATTGAGTTCGTCATTGAGTCCGGACAGATTCATTCCCATTCGAGGTTCGTCAAAACAGTCCGTACATATTTCTTTCGATCCGGTTAGTAGATTTTGAGTTTTATTTTGTTCGTATTTGTTTTGATATTTCTCGAATCTAAAATCGGCAAATGTTTGTTTCGTTCATCGTTTGAATTAATTTTTTTTAGTTTGTTCATGTTCTTTGTTAAATTAATTTTTCAGATTTCAAATGAAAGATTAATTAATTGTTTTTCATGTTATTTCATGTTTGTATTGTTGTTTAGATAAATATTTGTTAGTTTAATGTTTGTTAGATTCAAATTGAAATTTAATTAATTATTTCTTCAATTTGTTTCATGTTGTTATGTATTTTCCAGAAATTATTAGTGTTGTTTGAGTCATGTGAATCCGTCATGTTTGTTGCTTAAAAATAGATTTAATTCATGTTCGTCTTGGTTTGAAGTTCATGTTTAAATCCAGTGATTTAATGTGAGTTTATGTTTGTTTGTGATTTGTTGATTTAATTTGAATCATGCATATTGTTGTTTGTATTGTTGTCTCTTTGTTCATCCATTGATGGTCTAAATTAACCAGGATTGGTTCCCGATATGGTT